GAGCCTGGCCGGAGCCATGACGGAGGTGGGAGCCGTGCTCGGGCTGCTGGAGGCCTCGGGCGCGCTCAGCCCCGGCGAGCGGCGGCAGCTGGACGAGGAGGCGGGCGGCGCCAAGGCGGAGCTCCTGCTCCAGCTGCTCCTGGCCAAGGAGCGCGACCACGTCCAGGACCTGCGGGCGGCGCTGGAGAAGACGCAGCCTCACCTGCTGCCCATGCTGCACCTGAACAGCGTCGTCGGGCCGCCGCCACCCGCCGAGGGCGCTGGTGAGTGTCGCCGCCCGGCTGCTCCCACGCCTCTACCGGGCGCCGGGCGAGGCCGCCCGCTTCCTGCCGTCCGGGGGAGGGGCGATCCCTGGATCCCCCGGGCACACCTGATCCCGACCCCTGCCATTCGCGGTGACAATTCTTGGCCCAGAAGGTTTTGAACCTCCTTGGGGCCCCAGAAGCAGGTCTGATAGAGGCCACCAGATCCTGTCATTGGATGGGCCATCTCAGAAGTCTGTCAGTCCCGTTTAAAACATCAGTATTCGTTATTAGAACCAGTCTTTTCTTTGCCTTCTAGTTCATAGTTTGTCTTGTGATTTTTTTTATTGGATTAATACGTATATCCTTTCATTCCGTGGTTCAATCACGTCCAGCGAATTGTACGTTTACTACCACCATCAGTTTACAAACATTCTATATGGACCCCTTGACGTCATCACCCGATAATAATCTTTAATCAAGTCTAGGATTCACACTCAAAGACTCCCTGCCAGCTAGTCAATACTGACTCTTAGTGACCCCATACCACCAGGTAGATACTATACTCCCGTGTGTTTCTCAGACTGTGAATCTTTTCTAGTCAGGAGCTTCGTTTTTTTCCCCTCCGTGGAGCCACTAATGGGTTCCAACCACCGACCTCCAGGTTAGTAGCCCAGCATAACCCACTGGTGCTCCTAAATTTGAACCCAGCTACCCCATTTCAGGATCACGGGTGCCGTTTCTGTTTCTGGCTGCTCAGCTCTCTCACTCTATGCAGATGTTTGGCTGCCTATGCACCGTGCTTGCTAAGTTTCCTTGGGCCTGGAAAAATTGGGAAAGTTGCACTGCACCATGGGGAAATCTTAGTAGCCCCTTCTGGCTCAGTTCCTCCCCTGATAGGACTGAATTGCCTGAGGAGGGAAGACCAGTGGGCTGGTTCCCATGAGGGGTGTCTTTTGGGTGAGTGACTGAGAGTGTCTGACTTGTGGGTGAGAATGATTGTGTGTGTGTGTGTGTGTGTGTGTGTGTGTGTAACTGCTGGAAGATTAGAACAGTGGTAGTCTTGGCCTGGCCTGGTTGGGGGTTCTGCAGCAGCCTACTAAAAGAGGAAGAGAGAGAACTAGCATTTATTGAGCACTTACTGTTTGGCAGGTCCTTTACTTATAATTTCTTTAATTGCTGCTAACACCTTGTGAGCCTTTTTTTTGTTGTTGCCATCTCAGAGAGCTTTAAAGGCTGAGGAAGTTTTGAGCACCAGACTTTTATTATTATTATTATTATTATTTTTAAAGATTATTTTATTGGGGACTCATACAATTCTTGTCACAATCCATACATATATCTATTGTGTCAAGCACATTTGTACATTTGTTTTCATCATCATTCTCAAAATGTTTTCTTTCTACTTGAACCCTTGCTATCAGCGTCTCACTTTTCCTTCTCCCTCCCCACTACCCCCTCCCTCATGAACCCTTGATAATTTATAAATTATTATTTTGTCATGTCATACACTGTCCGACGTCTCCCTTCACCCACTTTTCTGTTGTCCATCCTCCAGGGAGGAGATTATATGTAGATCCTTGTAACCGGTTCTCCCTTTCTACCCTACCTTCCTTCCACCCTCCAGGTATTGCCACTCTCGCCATTGGTCCTGAAGTGATCATGCGCCCTGGATTCTTTGTGTTTCCAGTTCCTATTCTTTGTGTTTCCTGTACATGCCCTGGTGTAGCCAGATTTGTAAGGTAGAACTGGGATCATGATAGTGGGGGGAGGAAGTATTTGAGAATTAGAGGAAAGTTGTATGCGTCATCGTTGATACCCTGCACCCTGACTGGCTCGTCTCCTCCCTGCGACCCTTCTGTAAGGAGGTGTCCAGTTGCCTACAGATGGGCTTTGGGTCTCCAATGTGCACTCACCCTCATTTACAATGATATGATTTTTTGTTCTTTGATGCCTGATATCCGATCGCTTCAATACCTCATGGTCACACAGGCTGGTGTGCTTCTTCCATGTGGACTTTGTTGCTTCTGAGCTAGATGGCTGCTTGTTTACCTGCAAGCCTTTAAGCCCCCACATGCTATATCTTTTGATAGCCGGGCACCATTAGCTTTCTTCACCACATTTGCTTATGCACACATTTGTCTTCAGTGATTGTATCAGGAAGGTGGGCACCCACTGATATGATTTTTAGTTCTTTGATGTCTGATACCTGGTCCCTTCTACACCTCGTGGTCACACAGGGTGTTGTGCTTCTTCCATGTGGGCTTTGTTGCTTCTGAGCTAGATGGCCGCTTGTTTACCTATAAGCCTTTAAAACCCCAGATGCTTTATCTTTTGATAGCCGGGCATTAGCACCATACATTTTGAATTATGACTGACATGCCACACAGCAGGTCAATTCATTGGTGGCTTTTCCATTTTCACTTTGAGCTTTCAACATTTATATCTGTCTTCTAACCTGCATTCTGCCCACTCACCTGTATTTGTATCTGGATTGCTGGGCAAACTTAGTCTTCTCTGGGATGGTGCTTTGTCAGATGTAGCCAAGGGAAGAGAACAGAGGAAGACCTCATCAGGGAACTTTTATCTTTTCAACTCCCTCCATCCATCCACCCACCCATCCATCCATCCATTCATCCATCCATCCATACACCTCTACTTACCTATCCACCTACTTTTCTATTATCTCTGGATGGCACAGTTTGTGCTAATCTAGCAACTTAAAGGTTGGCAGTTTGAATCCATCCGTGCTGAAGTAGAAATACTTGATCTGCTTTTGTTGAGATTGCAGCCAAGAAAACCATATTGGTCAGTTTTCTCTGTAACATAACGGAGCTTCAAGAGCCAGAATAGACTTGATAGCAGTGGGGTTTTGGTTCATTCTGTCTCTCATTTTACGTACACGTATGTTTGCTTTTGAAGGAGAAAGCTTGTCAGAGATCTATTCTCGATGTTAGTGCGAAGATTAGTAGTCCTTGATGGAATGTATATGGGTTAGTGCTAGCTTTAATCTCTGGAACTGATGGATGAATTGCCATTAATTAGGTCCTATTTTTCCATGCCTGGGGAGAAAGTGGAGCCTCTTTGGACTGAGGTTCTAGGAGTTAGCCCTGACTTCTAAGAAAAGAGTTGAATTTTACTTCACAGGGCAGTGCTTTCAGATCCTAGTTTGACTGTAGCGCAGTGTTCTGTGGCTTTGCAGAGGGTTAGGAAATCCTCAGAAAAACAATTTTCAGTTAATATATTAGAGAAAAGGGTAATGCTCAATATGTCACGATCAAGATGCTACATAGAGATTCTTGGGGTGTGGGGTGATATGGTACACAAGGAAATAGTGGAGTCTTTGGATCTTGGAAAGGCTGAATTGTTGAACTGTGGTTTTTCAACTCCTCCCCACTTTAGCTAGAGAGCCCTCCTCATGATAAATGCATTGCCAAGTGGAGGAGCCCAAACCAAGGAAACCCAGTACTGCATTCTGCCTCCCTCCTCTCCCCAGCAATTTCTATTCTGCACACAGGTCTACATCTTTGATATAAGACCTTTGTGGACCTTGGCGAAAGACTCTTGGAGGATTCTGAGAGGAGAACCACCTAGCTTCCCCAGAATGCATAGTGTCTAGAGGAGTCCCTCCCATTACCCAGTTAGAGTCTCCCTTGCTGGATTTCACACCTGTGTAGGTCCCTTCTGGCTTGCAGGAACCTGTGGTGCTGCAGGATAGTGATGGCTGGAATTCTGCCAATGTCACCTAGACCTGGAAGGAAACCGGGCAGGTCACAGCCTCTGGGGGAACTGGCATATGAGTAAACCAAACCCATCCGAGTACCTCCTGCCCAGTGAGGTCCCTCGATATTTATATCCCAAGATTATACCCCACCTAGACCCTGGGGGTGTGAGGAGAGAGAAACATCCAGCATTGCTGTTTTGAGGGGGAGGGCTCCAAGATCGATAGTACGTTGCTGTTCAGCATTTTTTGTCTTCTCATAAACCCTTTTATTGTGAATTAGGTGAAAGTTTATAAAGCAGATCATCAGTCAGTTCAACAGTCTATACACATTTTGTTTCAACTCATCCACTGCCATCCCTGCAGTGTGTTTCTCCCACTTCCTCCCTGTTTCCTGTTTGCATCCCTTCTTCTTTCCTAACCCTCTAAACTTTGTCCTGGTGTAATCGATGCCCTTTTGATCTTAAATGGTTGATGATTCTTAAACAGGGGTAAGTTCAATTCTAGACCCGAATGGTGACTAAGCACCATTGTCAAACATACTTTCATATTTCACTTAATTCTTTTGGAAACCTAAATGAGGTAAGTGAGGTCCATGGGGTGTGCACATGGCGTGCACTTGAATACTAAATGAGAGGTAGGTGGTTCTGACCCCGGAAGAAAGACCTGGCAGTCTGTTTCCGTCAAGAATATAGACAAAATTACCCTATGGAGCTCATGGGGTTAGCGTGCGTCAGAATTGATTTGATGGCTGTGGTCTTGGTTTGGGGGCTTGAGCTAGGTTAGAGCTGAGTGCTGTTCATTATCTGCATTTAATTGGGTTCTTGGCCCGTTTGCTGTAAGTTGTCAAAGGGAGAAAGATACTGGAGGTGATAAATGGAGAATGGATTGGAGTTGTCAAGCATTTCTTCTATGCGTGGATCCACAATCAAAGCTCATGGAAACAGCAGTCCAGAAATCAAAAGATACATTGCATTGGTTCGCTATGAGTCAGAACCCACTCGGTGGCACATAACAATGACAACCACATTGGGCGCTCTGGAATTATGTAGCCTATTCTGGTCCTGACACATGGATGTGTAGAGAAAAAGTGTTCAGTTTTGCTCCAGTGAGCTCTGGTGTCACCGTGGTTACATGTTGGGCTGCTAACCACAAGGTCAGCAGTTTGAAAGTACTAGCCACCCAAGGAGAAAGATAAGCTTCTCACTAGGGGCAGTTTCACCCTGTCCTATACTGTCCCTGTGAGTCACAATGGACTTGATGCAGTGAGTTTGCTCTTTTTGGGGTGGGTTTTGCCCCA